CATACAGGTTATTTATTGAGTTATTTCAAATTGTTTCTGTTCTATTGCTACCTCTCTCTCAATACAACTGGAGGTACATGTGTACTAGAGTTACGTTATTAAATTATGAGAAAATGTAATCAACACACCATATTATCCAAACTTGCTTAGACTACACTTAATGTGAGAAAACCATTACAAACTTTAAGGAAATACTCAAAATTCACTTGGGTGCCTCTCTGACAGGACATGATTTTTCGTATAAATGGTATCAGTAACAACTTGAAAATTTTTATGAAGAAATTAACGTCTGGATCTGATTTGGTGTTAAGGTGCAGGTTCAGTTGTCTAGTATATTCTTGAGTAATAAGTTATTAAATTAGTAACAAGTTTAAGGAATTGTTATTTTTTTGGTTTTGTAGTACATGCCTATTTGCATGTTCCAGTGTGGGATTTATATATCATTCAAATGCTCAATCAGCAACTTCATTGGAGCTTGGATGTGTGTCTTCCATGGGTGTGCTCTTGTTCTTCCTACTCCATCCCATCCCATTGTTATGCACTGTATGAGTCTCAGAATGGAAAGCAAATATTTCATGCTTCCATGCTTTAAGCTTAAGTTTACAGATTAGTTTTAAAAATTGTAGGACTGAAGTCATTCTGATGTTCCCAAGTCTGAAGTAGGCTAGTGAGAAACATGTCCAAAGGTCATATGCTAAATTTTTAGACTCTTCTTGCCCTTTGCAATTCCTAATAAAGCTCAAAAATCTCATAAGTTTTAGAACAGGAACAAAGTGATGGGATTAGTTATCAATATCCTTGTAGGTGATGCTGGGCATACGATGTCCTGTACTCTGTGGTTACAGTCTCTGAGATTGACAGATCATAGATCTAAGACTTTGATTTTTGTCTAAGAAGTCCGTAGTACAAGGGAGTAACTCCCATTTAATAGAAAGCCAATTTTGGAATTAAATTGTTGAGGCTTTTCATACCCTAAAAGACTTTAAGAAAATTCTTTTGGGATTTCGAACTACAGATAAGATGATAACATTTAACAGGAGAAAGCAACCTTTGTTTATAACCCATCACTGGTCACCTGGGAAGCAGTACTCATTGGGTGAACTCTGTAGTTGAATTCAAACAGGTCTTGGGCTTTTCTCCCAAGCACCAAGTGATAAGATGAGGGCAAATGGCCTCAAGTTACATCAGGGGAGGTTTAGGTTGGGAATTGGGAGAAATTTCTTTACTGAAAGGGTTATGCAGCATTGCAGTAGGCTGCCCAGGGGAGTGGTTGAGTCATCATCTCTGGAGGCCTTCAAGAAATGTGTAAATTTGAAAGTTAGTAGCATGGTTTAGTGGTACACTTCAGTACTGGGTTAAAGGCTGCATTAGATGATCTTAGAGGTCTTTTCCAACCTGAGTTATTCTATAATTCTATAAATAGGCTAAATAAGTGGAATAACTTTTTTGTTGTGACACAATGGAAGCTATATATTTTTCTTGTTGCTTTTCCATCAAGTCTCTGCTCTAAACCATTTTTCGAGTTTAAGTGCAGTGATCTCAAACTTTATGTAAAGTGTTGAGTGGATGGGGGGAATTGAAGTGTCATCCATTTGGGACTTGGCACCTTCAGTACCTGGCATAAGGTAAAATAATTTGTATCCATGTCTAGCAACAAATCCTTTTTCATAGCCATCATTTATTAAGAACAAATCGTGACTTTGTGGTTCTCCTTGTGTACATATCCCAAGGTCCCGTCTTTCTTTTTTTTTTTTTGTATGGAGTTTCACTTGAAATGTAATTCATGTGCAGGTGTTTTTTCCCAAATTCCTACAGATCTTTTTTAACATTCAATACAGTCAAAATATATCATAATCCATGCTGGGAAACTTTACAGATCTTGAGTTGTCAAGTCCTAGGATGGCAAAGGGAGTGTTTTGAAGGATGATTGCTGACTAAAAGAGTGATCTAGGGAGGCCTAGGTGTCCTAGGGAGACTGTGGAATCTCCATGCCTGAAATTTTTCAAGACTCAATTAGCCAAATCCTGACTCAACACAGTGCTGAGAACGGTCTTGACCTGGGAAAAAGGTGGGACTTGACCTCCTGAGGTCCTTTCCAACCAAAATTTCTGTTTCTATGACTGGAGTGTACTTGCACGGTGTCTGTGGTCTTTTTAGTACAGCTGCCTGTAGTCCTGTCTAGACCTTCATAAAGCTTTTGCTGCTGAAGATTTGTGATTTGACTCTGAGAAGGTGTCATGTTTTCTTTTATCAGCACTTATTTGTGTAAGTTATCTTCCTTATATGTCAGCAGACTCCTGCTTGCATCACAGGATGGCATGTGCATATAAACGTGTTTAACTGAGGGCAATAAGTTGCTCACCACAGCAATGTAATTCTTGCAGGTATATTATGCATAGGTGACGTTGCTCACTTTCACTAGGATCTCATATAAACTGTGCAGCTGAGAGGAGATACGTATTTGACAGGGCTGTTTATAACCTGTATCAGCTCTGTTACTGTCTCAGAAGACACTTTGGTTTAGCAAACTTTATTTATTGCTGCCATCAATCTCATGGAATTTTTTAAGCGATATCTTTCTGCTCCATCCAATCTTTGAAAAAATAAAACAAATTCTAAAGGCCTCTAGAAATGACACAGTACCTACTGGGGGTGAGGGGGAGATTGTCATTTTATACAAAAGTCTCAGATTATTTCTGTTCCCTAAGTTATATTTTCCACACACAATTTTCAAACAAATTTAACTTATTAACAGTATCACTGTTTAACTTAATCTGAAATTTACTTGGGGTGCCATAATGAATCAATATTTGTCTATGAATTTTGTTCATCTGCACTCCAGTGATTTCTCCTCGCTTTCACAATGATTAATTTTTAAAGGACAAGTTCAGAGAATTTCTGTTGACAATCAACTGTACTATGGGTCTGACAATGTGCTAGCTTTGAAGTACTTTCTAACACATTTGACATTTACTTTTTTGTTTTTTTTTCTGTTGTTCACTAAGTAATGTTGTTGAATGCTCTTTATCTTTGAGGCCACTCAGTGGCTTCTCCATGTACACATACCTAAGTACATTTGGTTTTGCTTTAAATCATTGGTAATTTTCTCATTGTGGCACTTTGCGTTTGCCTTCTTAAATATTTTATTTCCTTTCTTGTTTTATAACTTCCTTAACATTACGGCTGATATCAAAGCCATTAAATGAAGGCACTAGGAGATATCAGTACGATATGTGCAAACACAGCCCCAGCAATGCTTAAAACATGAGCTAAAAGATTTGGAAAATGGGGAAAACAGTGTATGTAAAGTAGTATGGAAGCCAAGGGAGACTAAGTAGTTTCTTGAGCTGTTTTCCTGGAAGGTTGAGAACCTTCATAAATGTATAGGCTAGTGGTCCAGGACAGAATTTTTTCAAAGAAAAAAAGTCAAGATATTTTTATGATGACTGAAATGAATTAATGATGAAATTAAATAAATTAATGAAGTAGGTAAATTGGAAATAAAAACACTTTGAGAAACATTTGACATGTCAGACGAGATACTTAATGATATGCTTGAAGTATTGTTTGATAACGGATGAATGAGTAAAATTGATGAAAGAGAATTTTCTTCCCCTCTGGATATTACCTATTTTGAGAAGCTATGAAATATAATGCAGTGGCTGCAACTAAAGTAGATCTATGAATTTGCTACAGATAATGTCTTTGTGTTATAGTGGAACTTTTTTTTTTTTTTTCCAGATCTTGGGTAATTCCTTGAAAGGAACTGGTTATGAAACTGTGTGCTTTCCTAATTTGTCCTGACTTCTGTCCTAATTCCTGATCTTTCTTGTATTTTCAGTATTTAAACCTAAAGGTTAAAAGACTAGTCTTTACAAAGTTACAGTTAAGGAGAAGCTATGAATTGATGTGCTCTATTGGTCAGGCCTGAGATTCTTAATGCATTTATGCCTCTAGATAGAGTTTAGGTCAAAGCAGCAGAGATTAGAGTTCCAGTTACCAAGCTTGAACTTCTTTCCTTATGGTTTCCCAATGTTTGTTTTCTTTGCATGTTTTTAAATCTCAGTGTGTTATAAAATTTAGTCTTAAATCATTGGCAGCGTTTAGAACTTTCGTTACCTTTCACATTCTGCATTTTTAAATTTGTAGGATTTTTCAAGCATTTGAAAATTGAGTGGTAGAGACAAAGTAGTTTGTCTCATAAAAGCTACATTTAAAAAAAAAACTTGCTGTTTTTTGTTCTTTTTTGTCAGCTAATTTTAATTAAAAAAGGGTGGGTTAAAACAGCTGGTTGAAAATCAAGGTTTGAGATTTCTTGATACTAAATCATGCAGTGCTGTGATATGTAGATTTTTTTAGTATATATTTATATTTTTTTAAGTGCAGGGAACAATAATACTGGACTAGATCCTTAAAGAAATGCTTCAGACTTTGAATGCCATGTTTTATATGGCAGCAGATACACAGTTAAATCAACAGGATACAAGAGACCTGCCACGTGCAAAGCAGTATACTTCAGAGCAACTGTGAAAGCTATACCCATAATTAAAGGGATGAAAACTGGTCTCTGTTGACTTCGTTTAAAAAAAAAAAAAAAAAAAAGCTTCTGGAACTGGGAAAAATATACCTATTTTTTAGTATCAGGAAACTGGATCTGTTGTGAGAGGCAGATTTCCCTGACTGTAAAAGCAATACTAATGTTTTCCTTACACAAGGATTTTGAGATTTATGAATAAAACACTTTGCACTGATGCTTTATATTTACAGGTAGAGGTATTAGTCTGTCTCTTAAAGAATTATTACTGTTAGATTTTATTTTTGGTTTATACGCTGTTTTCTTGTTAGTGTTTATTTGCTTTTTTGTTTTTATTTTAACTTCTTACTGGCATCAGGAACAAAAATGATCACTAATCTTTATACACATGATAAAATGTGAATAAGAATATTACATAAGAATATTGCGGTGAATTATGACCATTTTTTTCTTTGTTTTCTTCTAGATCAGAGAATACAATGGACAGATGCAGGGAATTACCAGTGCAGGATTTGCATCCTTGACGTTTGATGGAACTGTAGGAACACCAGTAGTTCCTCGAACCTCTAGTAAAGCGTACACTTTCATGGATGAAGAAGAAAAAACAATAGAAGAATTACGTATTTGGGCAGCCAGTAATCTTTCCATCTCTGGACCAGCAGCAAAACTGTCCGGTGTTCGACCAATGCTGTTCTTTGATCTCACTTGCCAGCTGGTGGGGAAGGCAAAAGTGGATGGATCTTCTTTTCTTCTAAAGGTAAATTTATTTTCCCAAATTTGTTATAATGTTATGTGGATAAATATGTAGAGGCTAACAAAATGTATGATCCTTTACCTTTCTATTTCTATAAAAACAAAACAGAAATCCCAGTTCTTTTTAAAGTTGCTCATAAAATTTATTTCTTTAGAGAGTGTTTTAATATGTATGGTAGTTTCCACAATCGTAGGTAAATATTGCAGGATTTCTTAAAGCTTAATAATATTGTTAGTTTTTAATCTGAACCTTGTTTCTATTCAGTAGCAATTATTGCTCGTTTTTCTAGGTCTACAGGATATAATTAATGTAGTATGTAGCATACCCTAGAGCTCTAGGTAACTTCTTTTAGTTATGCATAAGCACTTCGGGGATCAGAGCCTAATGAAAGTACAAAATGTTGAAATGCCACACAACCAGAAAGTACCTTCCATGGAGTGATCCTTAACATCAGCTAAATATAAACTAGATCTCCATATTTTTCCTGGTTTAGCTTCCTATGCATCAGCCTGATGTTATTCTGAAACACCTCTGTATTTCTTCTCAGTATTTTAAGTTGATTGTTAAAATGTGAGTGATGAATAGCCTGTTATAAAGTCATAAAATGGAAAATAACATTATTTCTTGGTACTGCTGTATTAAATGTTGCTACAATATTTTTAGAAACAGCACATTGCATTTTTCTTTTACCAAAGCAGGAAAGTTTTTTCTCATGCAGAGCAATGAATGCACTACACAGAAAGAAATATTAAGTGTCATCCTATAACATGTTTTGCAGCTGTTAAAAGTATTTCCATTTAACTGTCTCTTGTGAAATGGTTGTCATGACACTCAGTAAAATTTCAGAACTTTGTGAACTCATTGTCATTCATTAACAAGTATATATTCAGCAATGAAGGACCCTTTGCAAGGATAGAGGCAAGTGCTTTCTTAAGTTATTAATATTTATTTACCCTCTTTTGTGTGTTGTAAGCTCTAAAGTCTATTTTGTCAATTTTGTATAGTAATGAGAATAACTTGGGAGCTGGGGATTGTCTAGACAGGACAGTAAAAGCTTAATGAAATCCAATAGCACTAGTTCAATTTCTCTCATACTGATTCCTTGTCAGTGTGTTTTTATTTAGCACATGAAAATGTTAAATACTTAAATCTGCATTAAAATACATCACAAAAACGGAAGTAGATGAACACTGATATGCTATTGCTCCCCTCCCTTCAAGCAGGCCAGAGTCCTTTCCTTATGTGTCAAATGTTGGTCATGCTGTAAGAGAAGCCTTTTATAAAACTTGCAGACAGAAGTCTGGTTATTTTGTTGATTCACTAAACAAAGAAACAAAACACCACTGGCTCAAGTGGATTGATCATTAAATATTATTTACTATTAAATTTCTGTTCTTAGATTTTATAACTGATTTAAATTTGCAACATCATTCCAAGTCTATCACTTATTTTAGTGGTTGGTAATACAGTGAAGCGTAAGGAGGATTTTAATCATTGAGCTCAAGTAAGTAGTGTTCTATTGTTTCAAATGTAACTAAAATGACTTCCAGTGATTTTGTGCATCACCCATAGCATAACCTTTAATATTCCACTTGGTAAGTGACATAGTACAGCACCTCAGTCTTATGTAGCATGAAGACTGAGTAACTTAACTTACAAAGGTAGGAAGGAGTTGCTTACCTGTTTCTGAGAATTTTGTTTTCAAACCAATGGAGACCTCGTTCTGGAAATGCTGCTGTCATTTATACATTTTATAAGAGCTTTACTATTATGCTTTCCTTCTGTCTGCCAGTTGTCTGTGTTAAGCTAAGTCACACAATTAGCATATTCTGCTGAAGAAACTTAATGAATCAGGACAGCAGGCTTCATTGTGTGTCTCCGATTTCAGCATCTTGTATGGTGATCAAAGGTCATCACTAACTATTCTGTAATACTAGTCTGTTAATGGCTAGTAATGGAACTATGTGCTGTTTCTTATCCAGAATTCATTTGATTATTGTTGGAAAGAATGAAGGCACAGGGATAGCTGTTCATAACTGTGGCATTAGCAGATACAGAGAAATTAACAGGAAGTCATAGCTACTGTATTTTCATCCACAATTTAAATAGAGTGAAGCTGGTAAGCTCCTGACGTATCTGTGTTCTTATTCATGTAATTAAAAAGACAAAACCACATACCTATCTAAGGACTTTTTTTGTCAAGAGAGTCTACAGGCTTAGAAATTCTTCCAAAAAATGCCCTGACACCAGCCGCATTAGTTCCTCTTGCAAAGGGCTAAAACTAAATAAGTCGACCTTGGACCTGACGAGGCGCATTGAAGTTATTTCAATCATTTTGTAAGATCCCATCTGTTAAGTGTAGAAGGACAAGTAAGTCAAAGCCAGTTGAAAAATAATAGGAAACTTGACAAACTTAAAGTTCTTCATTCTGTCAAAGTGATTATTTTCATAAATACCAAATTTCATAAACACTAAATCTGTATTTCTATAGCTCAGCTCTAGGAAAGCTTGCCTAATTCAAGCAACGGGTAGCATCTCATTCAAAGGTGGTTTTAAATATTTCATGGTACAGGATCAGAAAATAATAGGCTTTTTTTTTCTCCCTTTTAAATCTGCTGCAGCATGTACCACCTCATTATCAGGGTCCTTCAGAATACACTCTTATTTCAGAACGTTAATTTGATGTTATGGGTCATTTTTGCTGTAAACAGTTTTTCCTTTTATCTCTTGATTTGGGATGAGTGTTTCAGCCATGAGTTATTCTCGGTGCGTTTACATATGGCTTTGCTGCTGCTTAGATCTTTTCCTGTGGGTCCTTTGATCCACAGAAGTTAAGCATTCAGAAAGGGGTAGAAACCCTTTAAAAATTAACCTTTGGTGTATTCCCCTTACCCCTCCTTCTCCGCCACAGTGCTTTTTTCATGATACCAAAGAGGTGGTATCATGAACTATCTTAAAATTAGCTTCTGTTGGACCAATATGCATGAGTACCTACAAAATGCATTTTGGTCTCTCAATCTCAAATGCTTCTAGATTATTTTTTTTTTTCTGTACTAATATTTCAGAACATTATTTCTGTTGTTGCCTTTGTATCTTTGTATTCGTAAAGAGTGTATCTTTACGAATTCCCAACTTGGTAAACTATAGCTTACAGAATATATCGTAAGGAGCCAGCACCCAAAGTTTAATGTTAGGTAGTACGATAATGGTTACGAGGTGCTAAGTCTGTTATTACCTGTTTGTTGGTAGTCTTTCTTTTTCATAATTTTGGTAGATCAAATATAATTCTATTGATATTTCACTAAAGTGTTTGTCATAAACATAGCTTTAGGGCACCAATTTTTAGAATCCTAGTTATTAAGTATAAACACTGATGCTTTTCTGATCTGTTCTGCATAACTAGCAGTGTAGACTGATGTAGGAAATCATTAGTAATTAATGGAGCATGTGCTGTGTACTGAGGTTTCACATTCTGGAGCTGGAGTGTTCAAAAAAACCCAGCAATGATTAAAATATTAAATATAGGCAGTTATGCATGCAGGAAATTCTAATGGTTGTATCTGCTGGATAAACAGTTGAGGTTTTGCTAACACTTTTTTTTTTTAATTTTACGAAAACCAGGTTTTTAACATTTGTGTTCTGTGTGGAGGTTATTTTATACTTTGTAAAGCAAAAAATAAGTCCCATAAAATTTAATTTCAGTCATTTAAGAACTTTAGAACATACACGCGAGTTAAGATTTCATATTGTTAGACTCTTTTTATTCAAACAACAGAGGAAAAAAAAAAAGTAAAACATCATTTTAAATGCTCAATCTAAAGTCTTCTGAGCATATTGAAATGGTTGACTTTCATTGCAGGTATGGGATGGCACAAAATGTCCCTACCCAACATGGAGGATACCTGTAGAAGCAAGAGACCTGGAAGGAGAAAAAATTCTTCTTCATCGGCTGCGAAATCTCACAGTGGATATTCTAGTTTATGACAACCACGTACATCTGGCAAAATCACTGGAGGTAATGTAGTTTGGTGTTTCTAGCTGTTGTTTTGTGGCCTATTTTCTGCTTAAACTCACTTCAGAGAATGTATCAATTCCGTTCTGCTCTAAATTAGTTTCAAATATTATTCTTTATCTTTCAGTGTATTTCCCATACCTTTGATTTGAATGCAAAATTCCTTCGTGTGTAAAATAGCCTCATTACCCTAAAATTTCCATGAAAAAAAAATCTCCCAATTAAGCAGTTCTTTATGGACATTGTAGTATCGTATATTATCCTGTGGACATAATGCATTCAGAAAATGTATTCTGTGCTTCAGAAGTATTTTTTGAATGATATAAAGTGGGGTTAAACTTGTAGTCCCATTAAAGGCCTGTAATTCTGAAGTCAATAAAGGATTTTATCTGTTCTATAAACTTCTGCAATTTGCAATGCTATCTTCATTTAGTGGGTCAGTAATGTTGATTATGCTTAGAGAAAACAACGTAATTAAACATTTGATCTTCAGCAATACTGCCATCTTGCTTCTAAATACAGTAAATTAGCAAAAATTACATCTTTCATCTAATGTCTTTACTTCTGTATCCAAGCATTGTTTTTAAGGTAGTGCTTACCAGAAAATAAATGCAAATGGTAGACATTTGTTGTCTGGAGCTATCAGCAGATATGACATCAATTTAATGCATAGTGCCCAGTCATAAGTAAATGACAGAAAGCAAAGTAACTTTCCTTCAAGTAAGAATTCATAACAGAACATACAGGATTATTTCATTACTTACAGGTTATCTTCCAGAATTTTTCTTTTGCTAATTGGGCTCATCTATCAATAAGCATAAATGCTGATGTTTCAATGAAGCATTATGTTTTTAAAATTAAGGGAGGTAAATGATGAATATTCATTAAAAATGATGAAATTAATTAAAAAATCATGAATCCCATATATATTCAGGAATTCCTGTTGAATATGTGCTACATGGGATGTCTTCATCAGTTCTTTCCATTTCTTTCCTTCCTGTATGCCCTTTCTTACTTACTGTAAAGCATCTGTGCATTTGTTGGATATTGTGTTGCATAGCAGAGGTTCTAATGTCAAAGGAAACTGTTTAGAAACCTGTCTTGACCTACCAAGCATCACAGGCTGTGTTTTTCTCCTTCTGGCTACGTTCAAAGTTGTGATACTTTTAGCCATGTAAACAGTAGAGGTTTTATTTTTTTTCTCTCTCTCTTTTTAGTGAATTGTCTTAGAGTTATTGAAGAAAAAATACTGATACCCTACCAATTAGACTTCAGAAAGATTTATTGAGTTTACATTTCGTTTTGTGCAATTAATTTTGTTTCACAGAAAAATCTAAAGTTAATTAGATTTTTAGGACTCCTTATAAAATTGAAGCTTTAATAAAAGGTTTATTTTTAAATACTAGTGGAGGTCATGTCACACTAAGAATTAATTAAAATACTGCTTATTAATCTGCGTATTTTTATTATTTCATACAGGGTCTTGTTATGCAAATATAAAAAAAAATCATTTATGTGGAAGTATTAAACTGGAGGGAATTGAGTGTGTATGCATGTGCACCTTCCTGAGCGTAAACACCATGAGAATGTGGACAAACTGTGTACTAAATGATCTGCCAGTTTATGGTTTCAGAAACAATAAAAGCACGCTGGTTTTGAGCCATCTCTTCTACATTTGAAAGGAGCTTGGAATTGCCTTTTTATTGTAAATTGTTGAGGAGCTGTTAGGTTACACTCCCACGTTGTCATGTATTATCTGCAGTGACAGTTGCAACTCTGAAATGATATTTTATGTAGGAACAATCTGCTTTATGCAGCCTTGATACCAAGAAAGGCAGACTTAAATCTTATTTTAAAATTGTGTTTTGTTTTTTTATTTATCCATAGGTAAATGGTCACACAGGGAAGCTCTGAGTAACCACTACACAGTCTAGAGAAACTGGGTGACTTATTACAGTCAATTGATAGCAAATCCTAGCCTGTGCTGCAGGCATTTGTTAAAAGCTTCTTGTTTGTGTTGTCTGTCTAGAGAATATTGAAGATGTGAGCATTTTATCCCTTTTCACCAGTCAAATAATATTTACAAATCTCTATGAAGAGAACTTAGTAATTTCAAAGGTATGCTGTAGCTGATAACTAACTGTAAGTAGACTTTTTGCAACCTATATTTGCTGGCCTTCTTTCCCTGGTAAAAACTGTGGCTTTTCAGCATTTGCTGCCTTAGCAGAAAACAGAATTTTCAGAAATCTCATTTCTGAAATAGATTATTTCCTGAGGCATAAAAACATAAACAGAAGTACAACTGAGCAGAGACAATGGTGTTCACTTCATTTTTTGCAGAATTTCCCTCTTCCTGTCACTACCCTTGGTGCATGAGGCTTTCCTGTTTTTGTAGCAACCCCAGCCTGCAGCTAGCTCTCCAGAGTACAGTTGCTCCCTGTAGGTTGCAGTTTGTTGTTATTCAGACTTTCTTCTAGATTTCCCAGAGGTTCTCAGGATTCATTAAAACCTTGCCATGCAACTCAAAAAAATAAAAAAAATAAATATTAAAAAAAAAAAAAAGGTCTGTGACATGGATTTCTTCATCTGGGGTATTTTGCTAGATGCTGAATGTCACAATGAGCATCACAGGTCCATCAGTGCACCGTAGGAGTCCAGCTGTCCACATCTGGTCAGAGATTTCCTTCATGTACAGTTATTCAGTGGGTATGTGGTACTGTGCATTCCCCTCATGGGTTAATATAATGTGTTGTTTTTTTTTTTACTGTGTATTTTCTAGTTAGTATAATCAAAATAGTTAACCCTGAGCATGCTCAAGGTCCTAGTCTTTAGTGTTTCAACGTTTACTATTCTTATATGTCTTCAGGTGCAAAATTTGAATATTTCCTTTTGTTCTTCCAGCTGTACACAATCTCAAGTCTTTTTTTGATGGCACTAATGTCTGTCTGAGTCATGTTTCTAACCTGTAACTTCAAGTTGCTTGGCTGTATTATCTAGTTTCATACTTTTCAGGCTGAGATGCAGGATTTCTTTGACCTGTGTATATTTTCTTCACTTGTATTAATTAAAAAGAACAAAAAACAAACCCTCCAAAAATCCCCCAACCTGTTAAATGGATTTATGTTGCACTTTTTTTTTATTCCTTGTGCAGCCCGAGGTCCTTGGGACCATACCTAAATACTGTGTAAATGCTTCTTGTCATTTGCAAGAAGTTGTGCACAATTTGCTTAGTAAAATTTGAGTGCTGATATGGAAATGACCACAAATAAATCACTTTGAATATTATCGCCAGACATAAAATAGGCATAAAAGTTAGCATAGACTGTTTTGGTTAAGTGATTCCTGTAGATAAAGGCAAGCTCTTGTCACAGGTGTCTTTGTGTCCAAACATAAATATTTAACTACCTTGACAGTGTATTAAATATGAATGCAACCCTCTATGTTTTGAAGTAATTATAAGAATTTGCTATACTAAAAAGTGTTGTTGTTTTTATTTTGAAGTTGTCAAATTACAGGAAACTGTGACATCTTAAAAGAAACTGTGACATCTTAAAATTTTCTTTGGTTTTGTTATCTGTTTTTAAAATAGGCATATTTGAATTGTACTGCAATTAGGATGTTAGTGTATTTTAAGGTGTTGCCAGAAATGTGTCGTTATTGTTTTAATTTCATTTTAAATAAATTTACTTTGAATGAGGCAGGTAGGTAGTTCATAAATAAAATTCTGTCAGGAGTTGCTTTTGTACTAAATTTGAATAATGGCTCTGTAAATCATGTTGTTGTTGTTTTTTTTTTTTTTGCTTTAATGTAGATTTTAATTTTGTCTCAGTCAAGTATATAATGTATATACTTGATCTGCAGGCATTCAGTAAACAACAGAAATACAGTAGCATATTTAGCCTTAACACCCACAGCGGTTAGTTCAGCATTGTAAAGAGTAAGCAATGCTGCCTCCCAAAGGAATTTATGGAAATTGCAAGTCTGTCTTGCACAGTCAGATCTGTTATGTTGACATTTATACCTTCCTGACGTTTTCAGTATATGGCAATGCTGATTATAATGCATCTCTGTATTACAGTTATGAGTGATATTAAAATATATAAAAATAATAACGTTTTCAGAAGTGATCTAATAAAACTGCATATGGAGAAAGCAATGTTTTTGTAGTGATCGTAAATTTGGGGAAGTTGAGCGTTGCACTAAAACATGTAATTCATTGGACTTTTTGCATGAATTTCAGCACACAATTTTAGAAGGCAAAATCAACATTTTACATTCTTGCCTTCTTGGCTCTCCTCTACCACGTGTTAGCAACATTAAATACTTATTTTTTTCACACAGTGTTTTTGAAAGAAAAAAAAAAAACACTTCTAATGGAATTTTTCCTGCTCATTGCTCTTGGAAAAAAAAAAAAAGTAGGTTGACAATAATATATTGACATAAGGTTATTTGATAGGCAGAACATAGTTAAGAACTTAAAAGGCTGTTTGTCCAAAAGCACTTGTCATAGTTATGTTTAGTTTTATAATGTCTGTCCCTTGCATTTTTGTTTATTCAACATACTTAATTGAAATTTAGCATCTGAAAAGAGAATAAATAAATACATAAATAAAAATGCTACAGTTTAGCCTCTTAACCACCATCTAAATGTGCAAGTTGACCTGTTGATATCAGTGGGCCTTCTTGCATGCTTTGTTGGAGATGGGCAATAGAAAGGAAAGGAGGACCCAAAAAATTCAAGGAATTTTTCCTAAAGTTCCATTTTGGCATATAGACAGAGATGCTGTACGTTATTGTATTGATAAAGCTGTAAGGAATGCTCCTCTTCTGGGGGTGGGGGAAAAAAAAGCTGCAAAGGATGTTCATTATCATAACTGAGTCATATTCCAGAAAGCATTTTGTTGCTGTGAATTTATGGTTAGATATGGATTCAGTTAATGCAAGTGGTGATACTATGATATATACATATTATCCAGTATCATATATATGTTATGTTCTTAAATGGATTTAGAGCAGATGAGTGGATCTCCTTAAGGGGGATTATCTCTTTCCAGATCTAAAAAGTGAATTATCTCTTATAGAAGGTAAAGATGGGAAGACCAACGTAACCTAGGTGTAATGTTTTTGAAGCATTTAGAGGAAACATATGAAAAAAGTGCAGCAAACTGATGTTGTGCTGCGTGCTTTATAATCTGAATGTTAGCTGTTTTTGTCTGTCGAGTGGGAGATAACATGAGGCCTTCAGAAGCACCTCATTTCTAGCCTGCTAGTGACTGACAGTCCATCAGAAGTAATTTCAGTGGTTGTGCAAATATAGAGTGATGATACAAGATATTGCCAGTAACCAGGTACGGTAAGTTGTGTAAAATGAGTGAGATGCTTTCAATGGACAAAATGAGCAGCCCCTAACATACAGATAATTAAAACTCTGGTAGGAGCTATTTGGCAGAAGCAAAATAGGCGCTGGCTGAAGTGCAACTTTATGTCCCAAGTGCCTGAATTTGAAAATATGCTGCCTTTTTCATACATTATTATTGTTTAAAGAAGCAGTTTGATACCAGCATTATATAATCATAGGCTGTTCCTTGATACAGATTCCAGAAGGATTCCATGCTGCTCTGTGTCCTTTTGTGCATCCAGGTGTTTATCTACATATAGTCTTAAGACCTGGCCAATCCAGTCTAATACATACACTTTCTTTACACGGGCAGGTAGTGATAAGGACAAAGGAGAAAGGTTTTAAACTAAAAGATAGGAGATGTAGATTAGATATTAGGAGGAAATTCTTCACACAGAGGGTGGTGAGGCACTGGCACAGGTTGCCCAGAGAAGCTGTGGATGCCCCATCCCTGGAGGTGTTCAAGGCCAGGTTAGATGGGGCTTTGAGCAACCTGGTACACTGGGAGGTGTCCTTGCTTATGGTAGGGGGATTGGAGCTAGATGGTCTAAGGTCCCTTCCAACAGAAGCGATTCTGTGATTTTTTGGGTTTCTACAGTTTAAAGTTACTGTGTCACTGGCTATTAGTATATCTAAAATTAGAGCTAAAGCTGAAATAAGTCTTAACAGACTGGCTGCTGTAATATTAATGTTAATGGAATTCCATTTAAAATAATTTATCATTTATATAGTGCTATTTAAAAGATACTTACGGTGAATATAAATCCAGGTTATTGAATATATGTAGCATACCATCTATCAGCTGAATCTTAGGTTAGACTTTAAAAAAATTATTTAGGTGCTAGTAAATTTGATTCAAAGGCTTTTAAGACACATCATAGGGAAATTAACAATATAATGAAGTCTCCAGATTATCTACCTCTAGAACATTGGTTTGGGGTTTTTTGGACAGAGTTTGTGATAGAGAGGGATAAAGGGAGTGAAATTCAGAAATAAAAACAAGGTTGTAAATATATGTTCAGTGGTCACCACTCTTTAACTTCTTTCTGAATAGGGACTTGTGTAAGTCCATTTGTGTAACTTGACCAAACCTTCAGAGAACACAAAATAAGCAAAACAGGAAGTACACACTCCATGTACTCCCTGGAAATCTGTGAGACTAGAATCCATGTCTCAAAATCTTTGAATTTCTAATGCGTTTCCTTTTGTTCTGGCATAGAAAAAATGTTACCTAATGTAAAAGTGAGATACAGTAGAGAAGTCTGTGTAAGCAGATGTATTTGTATACATAAAGAGATAACATGTCATGCTGGACATGATGGACATGATGTGAATTGCTGAGGATGATCATACATGCCAAAGTTGCATCACGTTAGTCTCTTGAGGGTTGCATAGAGAATATAGAAGACAAACTGTGCCCTCGGGAAAGGAATACATTGGCTCCCTTGATCTGTATTCTTAAGACTGCTTGAGAATCAGATTTTGTAAGAAGACTTATGCTTGTTCTGAATGTAGCCTTTGCTGTAAAAGGCAAACACACAGGTCACTTCAAGAGGTTTTGAAGTATCCGTCTTGGAAAATATTCAAAACTCAGCTGTACAAGGCCCTGAGCAATCTGCTCTGCTTTGAGGAGGGTGGTTGGTGAGACGATGTCCAGAGGTCCCTGCCAAGCTTATAGCTATTCTGTGATTCTCTAAAAACAGGAAGCGAGCTTTATGAGGCCTAAATTTTTCCAAGTAAATAGCTAACTTTGTGTTACAAAGTCTTTTTTTTTTTTTTTTTAAAAAAGATTGGAAGTTTTCTGAGAATTTACAGTATTCATACAAAACAAGCAAGTGCTGAAAATGAAGATGTTCCACATGTAGAATTCCATCTTCATGGTGGCACCTGTTACGGTCGAGGAATAGGAGTGTTACCAGAAAATCACCCAGATGTTAAAGAACTAAAAACGTAAGTTCTACTTTTTTTTTTCCTAGATGATTCTGGAAAACAGCATTCCAACTGTACCAGTTTAGAATTGTAAATGGATGTAAGAACCAGAAACTCGGGAACAGAATATGCCTTTAGTACTGCTAATGTGAAGAATAGGTAATAGGTATTTGGGAGGATAAGTAAATGAAAGGTAATTTTTTTTTCAACTGGAAAATTAAGATTTCTATTTTATAGTGCTATAATGAATCGGTAACTCTAACATACTTACTCTGCTTTATAGTGACATTTTTTTGGAGATAAAAGCCATGGTTAAGCAACTGGCTTTAGTATGCTAAGCATATACATATATGTTAGTTGCAAATAGTGAGTCTTAAAAGATGTTTAAAATGAAGCATGTAATATAAAACTTTTCTGAACCAAGTTTATACACAAGGAAAAGGTAAGTCCCTGCTCCTTTATCAGGAATATAGAATTTCTTTTGGCATTATGTTGTGTTTAAAGTTCCAGAAGTGCTTTGGAAAGGAGTGTCACTTGCATCATTAATATGCAGTCCTGCAATTTATGATTCAATTGAGTTTTATATCTCTGCTGGAGAACTTATGTCTGAACATTATACCTGTGTATTGATAAACAGTAAATTTCATATATATAGTCTCTCATTCATACATCTATATCAATATATATATACACATGAAAGACTATTAGATTATAATATATGTAGCCATCTATTTTTAGATTCTTAGAATCTGTGGAACTGGCAGACAGTCAGAGTATGGATAGCATGTCTTCGCTGGAATTAGATAGCACTTATAACAGTATTGCAGGTAAGAATAATTGAAAACTGATTTCCTCTTTCTTCTAATATATATATATATATGTGATCAAGATAAGGTTACAGTTATTGCTTCTCTAAATGTGTGATATTACTTTCACATACAAAGTGTTAGAGAATTCTTTTGATTTATTAGACTGAAAATTGACCTTACACTGTCCTATCTCATAGTAGAAGCCTTTCACATACATTGAAGAATATTTTCATAGAAGGTAGTGAATAAATTATTAAATGCAGACTGTGTTAGGTCATACTCATACTATGTTAGGTCATAAAGTTGAGTGTCATAATAAATCCCTCTCTCTAATGGAAGGTTTGTTAAAGACAGACACTGGAAATGCCACTACACAGCTGCTTGCTGAGGAGACTATCCAAATCCATCGTGTGGAAAAGTTGTATTAGTGGGAGAGTTGTAAAGTATGGTGCCATGGAAAAGTAGTATCTTATGTTCTCCAGATCCTATGTTAATACTTTTAATGGTATTTTTATCTTAGAATAAAAATAACTAAATTAATCTCTAAAGCTGGTTGGACACAGTCTGCATCTTTGCTTCTGGCTTTTAAAATCCTCCATTACTTAGCCATCAGTACAATACTTAGAAAGAATTTTGAACAGATTTACTGCACTGTGTACGTGTAGTAGAGGCTGTTCAGAGGAGGGACCAGGCAGTCCATATATTTTTTTAGAATAATGTCTGGATTTTTGTCCAGAAAGATTGCAGAGGGATAAAGACAGTTTATATGAGCAGTTATCATTCATCTTATACACTATGAAAAATCAGAAAGAGTTCATTTTAATGAGCATTGCTGTTTAATATATACACTAATTTCTGCTCAAATGTGCTAGGTTTTGACATCTAATATTTGTCTCCCATTTGCTCTTCTTTGGTTTTGTTATATTGTTTTCCTAGGTTATTAGGATTTCCATTTTCCTGTGTTCAACTTTTTGTTGTGTGTTTGTCTATCTATCTGGTTTTGTATGTCCACATGGTAAAAAAGAAAAGGAAGGAAAATAATTAGGAAATTTTTCCTGATTTCAGATCTTGAATCACAGAGATGTCAGCAATTATCTGTTACAGGTAAGGAACATTTTGATGATAAAATAAAATTCATTTCTACTAAAGAACAAGAACTGTTTTTGAGACATCAGCTCAAATGTTGAAGTAACATCCATTACATATTACAGTAAGAATTATTATAAGATTCTAAGTTTATGAATTGTATTTATTTATAAAGGAATACAACATGTAGGTATCTTATTTCCAAATGTTATGTTTCTACACCGTGGTCCCACAGCCTTTTCTTAAAGGCTGTAGTAGCATGTTGTATTAATAAAACTGAGGCTGCAACTTTGAGGGGTAGGAGAAGGAGAGAATTAAGAGAAAATGCATACTTGCAGTGGCTGTTCTGCATATTCCAAATATGTTGTTTAATAGGTATGTGTGGCTTTTTTTTGTTGTTTTGCAGTATTGACAGATCATCAGGATTTGAGTAACACAGAACTGAAAACTATTCGGAACAGCAGAGCTCCTCAACAATATCGCATTAGAGCAAAGCTGAGAACTTTTAAACCCCAGAAGCTCTATCAATCTGTTAAACTTCATTGTTCCAAATGCAATTCTTTGTAAGTGCTTTACGCAGTAAAAGTAATTTAGAAATTGTTCCATGTGTTTTAGGATGTCTAAATTTTCAGTGTATTTTTATCTTCTTTTTGTGTAAAATGAGCTGAAGTTAAATGTATTTCATTTTGAGCAAAGATTTGAAGCTCACTGGTAATAAGAAAATTTGAAATCATCAGATGGATTGCAGTTACAGGATCCTTTTTGCACTTTCAAAACAATTTTTCTTTATGTTCAAGTTTGACAGTGAGCATTCCTTACACTGACATTGTATTTAAGTACTTGGTTCTGTCTTGCGGATTTAAAACAGGATGTGCAAAAGGGTGTGATAGTCATAGAATCATAGTCTCTAAATTATGGTCAGCATTATTATGTCTTTGGATAAGAAGTGAATCTTCCAGAGGAGGCATCTTTTCTTGATCCAAAAATACCAGGGAAATAACATTCATCTCACTATTTTTGTCTTTTTTCTGACTCGAGTCAGTTTGCTCACCAATTTTATGGTTGTTGTTTCCCTTGTAATGTGGTTTCTCATTGTATCAATAATGTTTGATTAAATGATCTCACCTAAAAACAGCCATTTCTACTGTAATCTCTCCAAAATGGGGGAAAGTTTGTTTGACACAGTCTATTTTCAATTAAAATATAAAGTGACATGCATTTTAGTGCTATTCATGATCATCCAAATCCTGTATCACTTTTTTTGTGTGTGTAGGTTAGCCTCACATCAGTCCTGAGCAAACAGCTTTATATTAAACTGGTGTAAACTATTGCCTTCTTTAAGTGATGGCATGTTAGCATTCTCCTACCCTTTTGGATTTTTTTGTATAATCAAAATTTATTACAAATGAAAGTCACTGAGACAAGAAAATGCCCATACTAGCTTTTCCTGGTGCTTTTGGGTACAAAGTAATACGCTTGCTCCTTTAACGGTATTTCTTGTCAGATGTTGTTTTAACATTATCTTGGTTGCTAATGTAAGAAGTAGTGCTTCATCATCTTCAAAACATAGAAGTACTTGATCTTTATTACCAAGTATAAAAAGGAAATAATTACCAACTCTCTGCTACTTTTTTATATATACTTGCCAACTCTGTATAAGCCTGTAGAATTGGTAGGATTTTGTTTGTTCCTTTTGAGCTTTATCCTTATCCCACAATTTTACTTGACTTTTATATAAATTCTTGACTTGTTAGATTCTCCATTCCTGTTCGAGTCTCCTGCTGTTTCACGTATTGCTGCCATCTTTTTGCCTTATAATTAGGGCAGACTTTCAACCAGAAAGATTTGCAAGGCTTCAGTTAGAGTATTTCTTACTGCTGCTACTGCTACCATCCTGCAGCAGTGATGAGACTACTTGCAGTGATTTTCCAGAAATTTAGCTTCTCTGTTCTCAACGTTGTGTGTCAGGTGAAAGGAATCAGTGAAATGTAATACTGCAGCTTGAGTTCATAAGTTAAAAGGCCAGAGAAGGAAATGTGATTCTTATATATTCTGTTGTGGCAAAGAAGTTGTTTCCTGTTTTTGGCATATACTAGAGAGCTTGACTGAACAAAGTTCAATGTGAGTTTAAACCTTTAACTTTCTGCAGTAAGATGCTTATAATTCTTCATACATAAAGCCCTTGTGAGAGGTGTGGTTTTTGTTTTTTTTTTTCAGACTTCAAAAGATTGCCTCTAAATAGCAAAATATTCTCAGAATGATTGAGATTGGAAGGATCTTGTGGAGGTCATCTGGTCCAACCTCCCTGCTCAGGCATGACCACCTAGACTATGTCCATGTGGCTTGTGAATATTTCCAAGGAGACTCTGTAGGGAAGGGAGGGAGACTCTGCAGCCTTTCTAGGCAACCTGTTCCATCACTCAGCCACCAAAGTGTTTCGTGATGTTCAGACAGAACCTATTGTGTTTCAGTTTGAGCGCTTTACCTCTTGTCCTGCTGCTGGACACCACTGAAGAGAGTCTGGCTTTGTCCCCTCTGCCCCTTATATGAATTGATTAGATCTCCCCTGAGCCTTCTGTTCTCCAGGATAAACAACAAACAAAAAAAACCTCTCTCAGCCTTTCCTGTAAGAGAGATACTCCAGTCCCTTAATCATTTTTGTGGTCCTTTGTTGGACTATGTTATGTACAAGTCTTTCTGATTTACTGGGGAGCCCAGAACTGGACACGGTATTCCAGCTCTGGCCTCACCACTTCAGAGTAGACGGTAAGGATCACTTCCCTTGACCTGCTGGCAATACTTTGCCTAATGCAGCCCAGGCTGCTATTAGTCCTCTTTATGGTGAGGGTGCACTGCTGACTTATTTTCAGCTTAGTGACCACTGGGACCCCCAGATCCTTTTCTGCAGAGTTGCTTTTGAGCTGGGTAGTCCCCAGCATGTACTGGTGCATGGGTTTATTCTTCCCCCTGTGCAAGGCTTTATACTTCCCCAAGGTCCCGGTGAACTTCCCTGTCAGACCATTTCTCTAGCCTGTTGAGGTTCTCTTGGATGGCAGTATGACCCTCTGGTGTATCTTCCACCCCCTCCAGTCATCAGCAAACTTGCTGGGGCTGCACTTATCATTCAGATAACTAATGGAGGTGTTAAACAGGACTGGATCCTGTATTGACCCCTGGGGTACTCGGCTAGTTACTGGCCTCCAGTTACACTTTGCACTGTGTGCACCACAATCACCATCCTCTGGGCCCAGCTCTTTCCAAGTCACTTCACTGTCTGCCCATTCAGCCTACTCATCAACAGCTTGTCTATGAAGATATTACGGGACTTATTGTCAAAAGCATTACTAAAGTTCAGGTGGACAACGTCTGCATCTCTCCCCTCATCTACCAGACTGCTCATTTCATCATAGAAACTTACAAAGTAGGTCAAGCATGGTTTCCCCTTGGTGAATCCCTGCTGACTACCAGTGATGATTTTCTTGACCTTCATGTACCTGGAAATGGTTTCTGGGATTATCTGCTCCATCTTCTTCCCAGGGACAGAGATGAGGCAGCACAGCCTTTAGTTCCCCATGTCCTCCTTGCCCTTTTTTGTAGATGGGAGTAATATTTGCTTTTCTCTGTTATTGATATAAATGGAAATAGTTTTATTTGTATATACACACTAAAGAGATTACAACCCTCAGGTTTTATTTTGCTGAAAACCAATTTGTTCCATTCCTGCCTGTGCAGGAAATCTACAGGCTGTAGAGGCCAGAAGTTTAACTTTTCCATTTAAAATAGTTATCCAGGAACACAAATGGAAAGAGTTCACATGAACAGCAGCAGTGTGCTCATGAAATGAAAGTTCAGGTTCAACAAGACTTTTGTGTATCAATTTTATAGCAGAAGAATATCAAAGTTTGGGCTTTATAGGCACGAATAGTTCTATTCACTGGTTAAAGCTAGCTGCTCTTGGGTTTGAAAGATAAATCATCAAAGTAAACTGTAGGATTTGTTGGTATATTCTCTTTAACTCTACTCTGAAGATTGCTATCTACTTTCTTCCAGTATTTTATGAAATAGCCCATGCGCTGCCCAGGCAGGTCTGTCTTGCTTAGGAAAAAACATCCTAATGTGTTTTTTTTTTCTTTCTGTACCACCTGTTGGCTCTTTTCCTGTTGGCAATGCTGTTAAAATTTGAATTCCTTGCGTTATTTCCCTGTGGGTGACAACTGGAAATGTATGAATGGTGCTCTAATACAAAAAAAAAAAAAGTCTGTGATGCAGAGTTGCAGATTTTGCTTTTACAGTGCATATGTGAAGCAATTCTTCTTTTGCACTTTTTTTTTTCTTTCTCCAAAATACATAAAGTAAAATAGGCTGGAGCATAAAACTGGAATTTGTATGAGCTTGTAAAGTCTTTTAATTCCTCTAAAGCAGTATGCAATTGTGTGGCTTTTTTAAGGCCTAACTGAAATCTCTTAAATCTCTTATTTGTTTTTCCATGGATTTACATGTGTGAACAAAGCCACTAGGCTGCCTTTGCTCATAGGTAAACTTACATTACTCCATACATTTGTTAAAATGGAATTGATTTTTCTTAATATAATTTGCTATATAGCTCTTAATGTCTAAATTGATGTAAAAATATATTTTTTTTCCTTTATATACTTTGTCTTATGACTTAATATTTATTCAGAGTTCTGTCTTCCTTGTTGCTAGATTTAGCATTTACATATTAATTTTGGAAATGGTTTTAGGCAAGAAGTTCCAAATGGAGATGCCTTTGACTTAATTTTGCAAGAGTGTGCAGTTATTCCTTCAAACCCAGAATTACACAGTACGTCCTGGTATGAATCTGTAACGTGGACTACACAAGACCAGAAACAAAGGAAAATAACTATTCATTTTGTAAAGCACGATGAAATGCTTCTATACCCTGAAGATACCTTGCTTATGATAGAAGGTAAGATAAATAAAATACAAATACATCACTTCTTATGGCACAGTGTCCACTCTGGGTGTGTATATATATAAATAATTAAACAAAGTTAAGATATGTTCAATTTACATTCAGTGTAAATAGTAATAATCATAAAGGCATTTCCTTAAAAAAGGAAAACTCAGCTGGAACTTTGTTAATGTTGTAGACATGGATGAAAATGTAATCTTTGAAGGCTCATAAGATTGGTCAGGTTCTTCTTCTACCTATCTTAAGCTATCTTAAGCTAAGTGGTTCTCCTGAAATTAACATCTGGCTATGTTTTTTTCCAGCTGTGCTTACTGTTTTTTGGTTCACATTTGAAGTCTGGTTGAGCCTTCTAAAAATAATTTTTAGTCTTAATACTGTAAAGGTTTGGAAGTCATATGAGTCAAACTTACATTTAACTTTGTCAGCCTCTGGATGTCAGTGTTGTTTCAGACAAATAGAGCTTCTCGCAGCATGTTTCTTTTTTAAAATCAGATTTGCTTCAGGGGAGAGAAATATCCACTAAAGTTAAAATAAAGTAATTTAGCAAGAATCCAAATAAGGAAGATTTTTGATAGAATAAGAGTAATAAATTCTCAGTACAAAACAAAGTCCTTAATTGTGCTGAAATATTGGTGTGAATAAGTAAATGTGAGTCAGGTGGTCTTTTGCATTGGGGTCAATAGCAAACCACTTCTGTTTCCTGTTATCTTTTATGTTTGATTAGTTCTAATAGCAGGCTTATGCCTCTGACATGTTCGAAAAGGGGTTTGTGTGTGTAATCCAACCGTATCTTTGCGGGGAAAAAAAAGAAATAAGAAAATATTTCTAATGTGTTCTTTTAAAATAATTAAAACATAACTTGTTCTTTTTCAGATACTAAAATGCCAGCAACTAAGTATCTGTGCATATGGAAATATGTGCTTCATGTTGGAGCATAATCAGTGTTTTAGCTCCTTTTTTTCCCAGGACATTGATCATGAACCCTTTCCAAGCCACATGCAAGCCACTTCCATTTTACAAGTTTTTGGAGATTAAGATTTTGAAGTCTCCCTAGAAATCTTCCTAGTACTTTTCCAAATATAGACCAAACTCCAAGGCCAAATGCATTATGACAATTAATAGGCACGGTCAAGTTTCTGTTTGCTTGTTAAACACAAGCAAATTTCTCTTGTCTAACGTGAGACTCTATTCTTCCATACGATCATTATACTGAAGCAAGAACTTCTTGCCTTGTGTTTGGCACCTATTGCACTGGAATTGAGGAAATAGTTGGATAATGGACAGAACTTTTAGGTGAGCCTTCATAGGGAGTGAGGGAAATCTATAACCATTGGTGCAGATCAGTTGAACTGAAGAGTGAAGTGTTAGTTAACACATAGATTATTGCTGCTTGCATATTCTCGTTATTTCTAATGATATGAATCACAGTGATTTCACATAACCCCTGGTAATTCTGTATGTTTTATGCTAGTCTCTTAGGAGCCAGAACACATTCACTTGATGCAACTTCATATTAGAGCAAAGTTGAAAGTCTAGAGGACTTTTAGCAATGCCATAGTTAAAACTACCCTGAATTCTGTATATTTATTCCTTTTCTGTATATTTATTCCTTTGATGAGAGTTAGACAGCATATGAGAGTCTTTAACTACATCACTAGACTTGGAGGACCTTTGGAGAAGCTATTTCAAATATATCTGTCTGTTTTCCTTAAACTTTTTTGATCAGATGTTCACTGAGGATGTTTTATGTTATTGTGCATTTTTGTATCACCAGTGAACCTTTATTGATATACGCCTGTATTGATTTCTTCTCTAGTTACATCTGCAATACAAGTTACAAATATATACATTAAATATTTTGCATTCCAGTGCCATAATTGCTTGTAATGAAATCTTTGAAAGGTCTTAATTATAGTTAGTGATAAACAATAGTTGTAGAAAACATTTATTTTGTTTACTTTTTTATTATGTGTTGTTCATTAGTTGATTAAATAATATATTTTTATTGAACTACTATTTCCAGATAAATAAGGAGGAACTGCTGACTGCCTCAAGTGTAGAGAGGCCTCGCAGAGAGATCTTGACAGACTAGAGGGCTGGGCAGTCACCAACCAAATGAAGTTTAAAAAGAGCAAGTGTTAGATTCTGCACCTGGGGTGGAGGAGTCTTGACAATGTCTTTACACAGACTGGGGCACAAGAGGCTGGAGAGATCCCTTTCTTAGATTCCACGGATACAGATCTAGGGTTTTTGGTTGACAACAAGTAAGCTAGCAGCATGCCCTGGCAGCCAAAAGGGCCAACCATACCCTGGGGTGCATCAGGCATGGCATTGCTAGCCAGTCAAAGGAAGGGTTTGTCACTGTTCCGTGCTGGTCAGGCCTCCTGTCAAATGTGATGCGTTTAAATTGGTACTTTTTCATAACCTAATGATTGAAAATTAATAGATTTTTGCGACTTAGAAGCTGGAAAAGCAGTTACTAAGATGAAGTTGCACACTTTATTTATTTTTTTTAAGACAATTGCTAGTAAAATCATAGTAGAAATTATAGGGAAGTGATTTTAACTAAATAGAGCTTCATGGTTAGCATGATAACTCTAAGGAAGATATTAAGACATCTGCTCTAATAAATTTCCATCTTTGATTTTTCTTTAATTGAGTTTGATGTTGAGGTAGTGAGAAGACCTTTTTTCCTTTTTTTCCCATAATGGATTTCAGTTTTTAGTGAAAGTCCTGAAATGAGCATCCAGTCAGCCAAGCAACACAACTTGTTCAATTTATGCTTGATTACAGTTTAAGAAAACATTTTTCTGTTTTTAATAGGTGGAACATCAAAAGAAATCTGGAAACTTACAAGAAGATTTAAATGTGTTATTCCTGTGAGATCTACAAAGAATGATCTTGAATTATTAGATCTTTCAGCTCCTTTTCTTTTACAAGGAAAAGTAAAATATTATGGGTAGGTTAAAGGTATTTATTAATATTTAAAGAGTTTCAATATTAAACAGAGATCATTTACTTCATTAATTCAAATGACAGCGATCAAGGAATAATGTGTCCAAAGAATCTTTGATACAAAGGATGTATAAAAGCATCCTTTTGACTGAACTGTAGTTGGGTATCTTGCTCACTTGCAGTATAAAATAAACACCTTTAATTACACAGCAAACCAGCTTCAGTCTTGCCTTTGGTCTGTGTTTACAGCATTAACTACATAGACAAATGTGCATATGAGCCTCTTCAGGCTGCAGAATGCCTAAATCTTCATTTTGAGTCCAAATCTCCTATTTTCTGGACAGTCAAATACCATTTTCTGGTCTTAGTCAGTAGACTAAGATCAAAACATATGTTGCTTTAAAATTGTAAGCTGTTTTTTTTTCCCACATAGATAACGCAGACCCCAGAAAATGAATTCAGGCTGTCGATCCAAGTCTTGTTCTCTCTCTAATTCCTAGTGTTGGGAAAGCCTGATTTTGGACAACCTTTTCTCACCATTTGTTGTATATTGAGATCCACAACACTGCAAAATACCTTGCCTGTTTGTGGATGCCAGTAGCTGTAGGAACATCTTCAACAGATGTCTGAATTCCACAGTTCCCAGAGCTGTGGAATGTAGTACGCTCATCTAGGTCTGCCGTCAGTGCTGTGACTTGGAATACTTTTTTCCTGTTCAATGAATGCTAGCAGCAGTATGTTTTCCCAGTACTGCACAGCAGCATACAGGTCAGAAAACTCAAATACCAGTTTACCTCATGCAAGCTACTAAGTCCTCCTTCTTGGCAGTCCTAATAACTTCAAGCAGAGCTCTCTAGTGTGTTGCACTACTTCAGGCCTGTAGGCAGTAATAAATAAATAAAATCTATGCAGAAATACTGCGTATTTTATGTGAACCCGAGTGCCCTCCCGTAAGAGCCTGATAAAATGAATACAAATGCCATTTACTGTATATTGTTTTGACCTTTCCAAATGTGGCTGTTCACAACTTTCTGAAATAAATAAAATTAACTTCATTGAGCTTGGCTTCATATACCTTGGATGGAATTAGGCCTGTTGACTTTTGACACGTAGCTCAAATAGATAGAAACCAAATTAAACATGTACTAACTGTAATATGCTAGCACAGAAGCTTAATTTGGAAAAAATAGCTGTTCTGTTATTTTGCTTCTTGAGGAAAATGAGAACAACTTCAGAAATTTTTCAATATTTTCATCCACTTGCAGCATTTACGTACTATGTCACACTGTGTCAAATTCATAATTATATGTAAATATGTCAGCAGTAAAAGAATTAATAGCTTTAATAGCTCAATTAATGTTTAAACATGGGTAAAGCCAAATTTCTCTTCTAAACCTGTTGTGTTTTTAGAAGATGCTGTAAGTTCTGTTTAATTCTTGCTATTACAAAATAAGATGTTGTTTGTATTGCTGAATAACTCAGTGGTGATATTTCTTCTCGGGGATGACTCAAAACCAGCAGTAAGGATTTTGCTATAGTCTAAAGCCTGCATGTCCAGTGAAATAGTTGTTTAAAGCATCAATAGAAATACTTTATGCTCCCATTGAGTAAGGAAATTTGAATGATTTATTTTCTGTGCAGAAAGCCTCTAGTATTAACCTTTCTGTGTTTGGTTGGTCTTACAATCTTGTTTTAAATGCTAGGTGCAAGCAGTGTTCAACTCCAAAGCCTATTAAGCATCTAAGTTCCTTGGCAGCAGAACCACGACCATCATGGGAACCAACCGAAATAGCACAAGGTCAGCTGATGTGATACTGTCCTAAAAGTATTTTGTGTTCTGATTCTTAAGTGTGTATACAAAACAGCTTGGTTTGCGGGTTGCAGTCTTGTAAATTGTGGCTACCTTTGAGTACAAAGCTGTAAAATTTATTCACCTTATACAAACTGAAATTAAATATTTACTTTTTTTCATAGTATGAATTAAATATCCTATACGTTGAATAGTTTATTCTACCATAGGTGTCACTAGTAAAGCTTGTCATAGTACAGATGTAATTAATCTTTGTTTGCATCAGTTCAGATGTCTTTTTTGAGCTGTGTACATGCTTGCAGTATTAGAAATTAGTAATGCTTTTCCTTTTGAACATGCAGTTTTTATGACCTGACTAAAGCAAGTCTTATTTAATGATTAATGAAGTTAAACTTTTCATCTGCAAGCCATATCATGCTAAGCATATTGCAGAGTCTGAAAGAAGTACAAGATAAGAGGAAATATACAATAATTTGTGTGTTCTTGCTGTGTGTTTTCCCTCTGTTACTTCATGTAGTCAACACACTAAAATGGTGGAGGGAAAACGGAGCTTAAAACTTCATAACATGTGAAGGAAAAATAAAAGCATGTTTTCATGCTTATTAATTCATGTTCTTATATATTAAGTTGGAATGTCTAGCAATATCTAAGCTTGATAAAGATTTCATAAAAGAAAAAAGTATTTGAGCAATACAGTGGTTATATGAAATTGACATTCTGTTAAGTAAATGTAAATACATATCTGTGTTGCAGCAGCTATGACTGACATGTAATCCTCAAAATGAAAGCATTGTTAATTAAATGCTTTTCAGCATTTACATTATTTTATGTATATTATTCTTTCATCATCTGTATTTTCAGATTAAATGATAACCAACAAGTATATCAGATAAAACATAAAATGGCTAGCCAATTATGTGCCCAGAAGAGATTGATGCTGACTTGCAGTAACTTTGTAAGTTTAAGATGTTTGCAGGATAATGGTTGCTGTTACCAGCGAGATAATGAATATAGTCACCTATAATGGATTATTTTCAGAACTGCCAGTAAAATTCTTCTGAGTAAGGGTTTACCTGGTAGCTTTTATTACGTCATATTGAAAAAAAGTGTTTTCTTCAGAAGATATGTTTTCAGGTGGAATACTGTTTTACCACTGAATTAAGAGCAAGTCTCTTTAACTTCTATGAGTAAGAGTAGGAGGACCCTACCAAAAGATAGGATCCCCGATCTAAGCAAATATTATCTTTTCTTTTACTGAGGTAAGAATATTCTAAAATGTCTCTGTATTTGTAGAGCTTCACTTGTTAAAGTGTTTCCAGGCAAAGTGCAATGTGCTCTCAAAGTATGAACAGAGAGCCTGACTTATGCTTTTAATTACAGTATTCAAAGTAAGTTACCAGTAAAGGAGGGATAGTGTCAGTTTCAGTTGTTATGGTCTTGTGTATTCACTACATAAAAACAAGTCCATTTTTTTCTTCAGTTTTAGGTATTGAACCACTTCAGTATGTTTTTATTATGAAGTTTACACTGGTTGATGGAACAGGAGCACTAAATGCATACCTTTTTGATTATGTAAGTAAACCTTGGTAAAGGCAGACTATATGGATTCTGTTCATTTGGAGTTTATTTGTTACTAGAATAGCAATTGCGTATATGTAGAAGTATTTGTTCTAAGTTACCTGCATTGTTTTATGGTGACCACTACAAGTGTTATAATGTTATTGGTACTGTGCGTCAGTGAAGATGCACAGAAAGTGATTTTTATTAATTTTTCAATAAAATATCAGAGTATAGAATATCAAAGAATAACGTCAAAGCTGAAGCTAATAGATAATTTTATCTTTCCATAGACTTTTATACATGGTGTAATTTCACTTTTTTGGCAGTGTTATATTCTGGAGCCTGAAAGCTGTGTTAATGAGTTTAAAGATTTACGCAGGTAGCTTCTCAGTTAGTTCAAAATCTCATGACTGCTTTTTTTTAACTCCTAGCAGAATCTTAGTTGTCCATTTAGTAATTCCTGGTTTGTTTTTTCCATATGAAGTAGAAGAGGCCTTGCTTCCCTGGATCCCAGGCTGTAGCTATAGCCAGACAGATTAGTCTCTGATTCCTGAAGCAGTTTATTCCACTGCTCTGCTAACCTTATGTAACCTTTGCTAACCTAATTAATCTTTCAGTCTTCTCTGAAGCAACCAAAGGCCACTGAGACACTGAAGAACACATACTTTTCCTGTCACTACACACTGAATGAGTTTTCCTTCTGAAGACTGAAAAAATGTATATGATAGTATTATGTACATATAAAACACAACCGTATAAGAGTTTTTATCTTTTTTTTCCATATCAGAGTTCTTTGTAAACTCTGATCATTCTCAGTGTTGTTCTGGGTTCTTTTCAGCTGGCCCACATTTTCCTTGAAGTGCTAACCCAGTACCCTAGCATGAGTCATTGCCAGATAATGCTTCTGTCCATAACTATAATGGTGATCATTGAATTTCTTGCTTCCTGATTCATGCTTGATATAATCCCTTCATTTCTGAGCAGAACCTCAGCTTTAAGAAATTATTTTACATTCTTTGTGCAAAAAGTGATGCAAAGTGAGTTTGTGCAAAGTTGATTTGACTTGCTGAAATCCATTATTTTATATAAGTATGTAGTGGAAAGTGTTTTTGTTGTTGTTTTGTTTGTTTCTGTCTTAATGCCCTTCCAGTTTGTGAAAAAGTAATTTTATTCTTCCCTCCTGTATACTTGCAGTTCCCTCAGCTTTGTTTTGCTTGTAAACATAGTGTACGTATTTGTTATTCCATAAAGCATGTCACATGAAAAATCCTCAAAAGCACCAGATTTAGGACAGCCTACTGCATAATCCACCTCGGATGATCTCACATTTTGACAGTAAACTCCTAATAACTACTCTTCAGGATTTTTTTTGTTGTTGCTCTCCTTTTTACTCTAATTCATAAGCTTTATTATTAGATTACCAGTTTGATGCACAAAGATGGTTTGAGGAAGAATTTTCTGTAGAACTGAAGGTGAATGATTTCTGACTGAAAAGAGATTGTCATTGCTTCTTACATCTCCAGTCCAGGGCAGAAGATGATATTAGTCTAGCTATCTGCCTTAGTGAGCTTGCTCCTTCAAATATATTGTTCTGTGCAACAAAAATATGTGTCATTCTATACTTTTTTTAAAACATATGCATGCACACACTTTTAGGTATTGGCATAGATTTTGAGATGGTAGATTGACCATTTTGAAAGGGGAAAGCAATCAAAAAAGTGAGAAGAACTTGGTATTAAATTGTAACTTTGTCTTTATATAAGTTCGTCTATGTGTTTTCTTATTCCAGTAATTCATAGCTGGGAATATTAGGATCTCAGAATAAACTACTGGAGTAATACATCTGCCCAAGTGGAAATGAGTCAGCATAGTGGCACTTAGGACTTATAATTTTCTTCAAATTGTGTCAGAGAAACAATTTTGTGGGATTTTTTTCCCTGCAATAATACACTTTAATACATAGTACTATTAAATGCTATTAAATATCAATCGTACTATATTTATATATTGTTTTACTAAACAATGTTGAATGTGACTTTGAAAAGAATGATTTTCCTTGTCTAATTTCAAGACTAAGTAAAAATAATAATGGAGAAAAATGTGTTTTCTTAAATACCACAGTGTATTAGCAGCAAAGGATGTCAAAGACTGCAAACCTTATTTGAACTAGTAGTCTTCTTCTACTGTCTGTTGTCACTTTGTGTAAAGAAATTAAACTGCAAAAGGGAGATGGGGAAAAAGATTTTAAACCACCTCTTGATTCAGAATTCCAGAAATCTTTAATTCAGAGTAGCCTGGATTCTTATCAGATATTGCTCAGTACTGTAGCTCAGCTGCAGGAAAAAGAAACAACAGTTCTTTCTGAAGTGCCAGCTGCCATTCCTGCTAGTGGTAACTTCAAAGGCAACCAAGCCCGAACTCTGGTCCTTTAGCATCACCTGAGATGGAACTGAGCTACTTTGAAGTACAACTTTCCTATAAAAGTGTGACTGGAAGCTGGTGTAATGCTCTCAGTTCTTTTCTTTCTTTATGTAATCATTGAAGGAAAATATCGAAAAGGTGAATAGTCAGAAGAACTTGGAGTGAGAGGAAAAAGTAGTTCTGTGTGTCAGTTTTGCTACAAGATTACCTGCTATCAATTAGTTCTGTTAAATGTCTTATACACAAAAGGTAGATTATTCTGTGTTTATTTTTTTAAAAAGGAGCAGTTGCCATCAAAAATTTGAACTCACTTTGGAAGCTATAAGGTGAATAGCCCTGAGAGATACAAGATTGGGTAACAAGCTTGGAAAGAATAAATGGGAGTTTTGTCAGCGATGTTACTGTATATAGTTTAAAAAAAATAATACAAAGAAGAGGTTTATCTAACATTTCCTTGCTCCATTTGTGTTTTATTCTTCCGTGCAGAAATGCATCCTGCATCATGAGCCCTTCTCCATTGTTTTTAAACTTTCAAAAAGTGGAACTCAAAGAGAATTCCACTTGAACTCCCTTTAAAGTGTGAAAGTATGAAGCCAAATTGCAGTGCCCCCTTGTTTTCAAAGGGCTGACTGTCCTCTCTCACCTTAACATTGTCTCGTAATGGAGATTTATGAGAAATACTTGCCAATTGCATGTACACACTTATGTATGCAGGTGAGTTAGTAATATATAGAGAGTTGGGTGGCTGTAGTCCCTAAATACTAAGGAATACTGAAATACAGGCTACTGTTTTTTTCTGACAGTTTGTTGTCTTCCTGTTAAAAATCATATTTTTCTTCTGTTAACTCTGGATAATTTAAGTTCTTTAAAAGGACAGTCAGGATTCTGGCTAATGATTTCTTACCCTTCTTCCAACACTTTATGCTTTCTGTTCTCTTTCAGGAGAAGTTCTTCCAAATTCCCGCCTCTGAAATCTTAAGTAATAATTTTCTTCAGCAAAAGATGCAGATGACCATGAATACGCTTTGTCCTCCAGGAAGAAAATTAGGTTAGATTGATGTTATTTTAAAGGGGGTGAGAAGGGAAGGGGTCTTTTTGTCTGTTGTTACATATGCAAAGTCTAAAAATTGAACTTATGTATGGGTAAAACACAGAATTAATAAATTCAGGGAGTCCAAGACTTCCAATTAATATGCTTTTATGTATTTCTTCTATATAACTCTATATAAAGGGATCTAGAAGACCCTTTTGAGAAAGAAAAGTAATGGTTCGGTAAATCTTCATGTGGCATGCAGGGGTGTTTGAATACAGTTATGTTTAGGTAGGCACTAACATGTTGATTGTATTCATACAGAAGTTTCCCAGAACTGTACTGAATGTACACATTAGGGTAAACTGAAAGGGAATTCAGTGTATTGCTCATGCTGCGGGTGAGATTCTTCTTCTGAATGCACATACTGATTTAGAGCATCCCGTGCTACAGGAAACATCCGTGGAAATAAAGCAAAAAAGCTTCAGTCCAGATTCATTCAAAGAGAGTTACATACAGTATTTCTGCTATGGCAGAAATTATCTATGCCCAAACCACACACATCCAAGGTAGCCACAGCTCCAACCACAGGAGCATATTCCACAAAGTACATGGATATAGATGACAACCATACCAGAGTCTTTACTTTTAAAAATTAACCCTGGTGTAAAAGATTCCATTTGAGACCAATTTAATTAGTCTTAGTATCACTGAGATGAGTTTTTATTATTAAGAGGTCTTCATGCTACACTGTTGTACAACTACAACCAAGTGGTGTGGGGGCGGGACTGGTCTGGGAGGCTGATTGTCACTGAATACCATGTCAGATGGTGCAGGAAATTTTAACATACAAACCGGAATACTAGTTATGAATTTTAATTTCAAATTAGTAATTCATTTTTATTCTCTTTAAATATTTTACATATTGAGATCCTAGTTAAGATCCTGCTCAAGTTCTACTTCTATAAAAGTTAGAAATGAATATTAAATCATAATTTGGTTTTGATTTGTAGATGACTTGCCATGGCTGGAATGCTTCATCAAGTCCTATAACATCACAGATGGGAATAAACAGCAAGTTTATTACCAAATTTTTGACACTACAGTTGCTGAAGATGTTGTATAGTAATGCGTTACTAGTAGAAAGTAGAAAGTAATTCAGTAAGAATCTTTTTTTTTTTTTGGGGGGGGGGATTGGAGACTGTATAATAAAACCTATGTTCCTTTCTTAGGAATTCAGTCTGTGTGCATTAAGTTTTAGTTTCTGTATTGAGTTAAAGATAATGGGAATGTTGATTTGATGTATTTACTACATTCCTGGCACACAGCCTTGTGATCTGAGTGCAGTCAGAGGTGGTAAGCAATTAGGTGTCTGATGGAAGCAATCTAGTATCCTGCTATCCTTCAAAAAGGCAGTGATGAGGTTACTTTAAACTGGTGAATTTTACTTAGAAAATGCAGTCAGAATGATGCTGCATTTATATATTAAAATAAGCATTGTCAGAGATATGGAAAAGGAGCTGTTCAGTAAACTTCAAAACTTTTCTGCAAGCATTTTGATGGTGTAAAAATATGACCATGTAATGATTATTACTATTTGGCCCTGTTGGAGACCAAAGTTGTTATCATGTTTATTGTATTGTTGTATCATGTATATTGTTTATATGTTATCATGTTTATTACCTGACTGTGTTTTCAAAGGCTCGCACATAGTGGGGTAAACTTTGTCAGATCACACTGCCCGTGTCTGCTTCTATCTTTTATAATCAGATAGTATGACTAAATTTAGAGAAGCCAAACCAATATAGTGATGTCATGGCTTGAAAATACTGCTCCACTAGGAAAATTACTTTATGGTATTACTTTGCATTCAGAAGTATATAGGACAAATTCAGGACATATTTGTCCAGTGATAATTAATGTAGAAATCCCTGTCGAATCAAATGCTTCCCATCAGAGAAAAATCACTTAATATTTACAACAGCTGTTTTTTAAGAGAGTTCAGAAGCAAGATGCAATACTTGTAGGTAGATTATTATTTTGATAGTAGATGACACTTTTTTAATTTTTATGGGATGCTTACTAGACTATACAATTTGTCAATTTAAAATTTAATCTACATATTTTCTGATACTTCTGATACTCTAAAAATTTATAGTGAGTTTACGTGCCATAAAACTGGAGAACGTGTTCTTTATTGATCAGTGTATGGGGAGAACGAATATTAAAGGGTGGTTATTGCATATTTACTTTAAAAGCTAGGGAGAAACTCAAGTTTGGAATGGGGCTAGCAGTTTACCAAAGAGCAGTACTGACTTATCAAACATTGCCCGAGTCTGTGAACAGACACATAAAAAGAAAAAATAATTATAAAGGATATTATAAAAGTTCAGATACTGGCAGGATCCCAGTGATTTGAGAAGTTAGGATTTAAATTGAAGGCAATATTTTTTACTTGTATATAGTGCATGAAAACTTTTGAAGATACTTTGATTTTTAGTTTTTTCTTAACAACTGATAACAGATATTGATATTGTACATTTTATTGTAAATAAGTCTTTTCATCACATCCTGTTGTCTGAGATGCCTGTCAGAAAAGTGGCACTTTTCTGCTGTTGAATATTGTATTAAAACGTTTATTAAAGATTTTTCCAAATACTGTGTCTTTTGTATTCAAATTCTAGTTCCTAGTTCATAAGACAGTGAAAACTTAAATCATGAATAGCCTTCCTCCAACAAAATGCATCAAATGAGTGTTTATATAGTTGATGGAAACATGCACATTTAATTCTCTTTCCAAATATAATTTGTAGAAATAATTTTAATTAGTAGTGAAACATTGTGTTTTACAATACTAGAGATCATTGTATAGAAAAAGGAATACTGTATAGAAAAAGGAATCCGTGCACGGAGTTGAAAATATTTTGTTTCATTGGTAGCCTTTATATGGAGCAATGGAAGCCATTGAGATGGGACACTGACCTTTGATTTACTTGTTCTCATCACCTGTGAATGGCTGAATGATGGTTGAAAATCTTCAGATTGCTGTATCCTGGACCTCAACAGAGGGAGGTTTCTGGAAGCTGTGCATTTCAGAGAGCAGCTACTGTTAGCCATTATTAGCAACCTTCTATAACAGAAGTAAAAGTCACATTTCCCATGGTTGATTTCTTAACTATGTATGTGATTTAAGTTTCTAAAACATTACTAAAATACCATATGTCTCTTTTTAATGGTTTCTGACCTGTTTCAATGTTCTTTTTATATATATATATTCAAAAACACTCCAGAATTGAAACAACAGACATCAGGAAGATGTTGTCTGGACATTAGGAAGAGGTTCTTCACCGAGAGGGTGGTTGCACACTGGAACAGGCTCCCCAGGGACGTAGTCACTGCACCAAGCCTGTCTGAATTTAAGAAGTGATTGGATTGTGCACTTAGTCACATGGTCTAAACTTTTGGGCAGACCTGTGCAGTGCCAGGAGATGGACTTGATGATCCTTATGGGTCCCTTCCAACTCGGGATATTCTATGATTCTATGACTGACAGATCAGGTTAGTGTCTGTGCAGTCAGAACCAGTGAAACAGTCCGGGCTTATCTTTCTCATGTCTCATCTTCCTTCATCCATACACATCACAGCATACAGGGTAACTGCATCAAAACATTAGTTTTTCTTGCCACAAGTGTGGAGTAAATGGCAAGTATGCATGGAAAGTAAAGTATACATCACATAGCAACATCACCACTGGGAAGTGCAAAGAATGTCTTTGGAGGAAGTATGAAGCAAATTAAAAAAAAAAAAAAAAAGCACTAAGGAAACATAAACTCATCACCCCTCACCATCACCAATTGCACAGGTAAGTGTGAAGAAATGATAAAATTGCAATTAAAGAGAGATTTCAGGAGAAAAAAAAAAGCAAGAAAGCATGTGGAACAGTTTTTTCAGGGATTCCCATATGCTTGACTTCTGAAAGCCTTGTTTTAAGGTGGTTTAAACACATGGTTGGAAGTCTTTCCAGTCAGTTCAATTTAATTAATTTAGTTAATTTTGAAACTCCTACTAAAAAGGATGTACAATAGCAACATACATTACAGAAAGAAGAAGGCATTTCTGGTAAAGTGATCCTGCTGCTCAGTGGTGATTGAACTTTCTCCTCAGCTTCTGCTGCTATGGGATACAGAGATTCACAGACAAGACTTTGAAATGCCTTGCTTAATGCTAATCCTTTGGCTACAGAGCAGCAGGAAGTGGGATTGAAAAAAAACAACAAACAAAGGCAGTGGAGCCGAAGCTAAGAGCCTTAGGTTTGCAACAGAAGGAAGAGAGTTTGTTTTAGTAGAGATGAGTGTTTAGCTCTTCAGTGAACCACAGTGTTTTACATTACAGTGGATTTATCGTGTTAAAATATATGAGGCCAGCATGAACTGTGATACTTCAACAAGGAGCATAGAGTAGTTAAATAAAAACGTATTTTTTAAAATATGTTTAAGTTTAGGTCAAGGTAGAATGGGAGGAGCATTGAAGTTAATGCTTGCTTGAAATTTTCTTCAAATAAGCATTGTTGCTAGTGTACTGAACAGTAAATTGGAAATATTATAAGGATTGGAAACATTCAGCAGCAATGGGGAAGAAATAGTTTCACAGGACAGCAGCAAAGGCAAGAAGCAATGGTAAGGAGGCTTTATGAGACTGATTGCTACAGACCCTGTTCACATCATTTCTTACATATGGAATCTCCAGAAACAAATGCAGTTTGTGGAAACATCCACCTGATGAAGGATTACCAGGTCTTAAGTGCTTTATAAAAGTAGGGCAGAATTATGTTATAATTAACAAGCCTATCTACAGCAAAGACATGATTGGAATACAGAACTTCCTGCATCCCAGAAAGACAATGTATTTTTCCTTTTTTTCCTGATACAACTTCAATATATAGCAATTCCATAACACTGCTGCCCTGTCTGCAGTTGTCTGCATAAACCCAGCAAAGTGAAAGTCTAGGAATAAATCTCTATTTAGTAGGTAGTTGCTTTAATTTGCATTTTTCGTAGTAAACTAGGGGGGAAATATGGTTAATATGGAAATAGACACATGGGGGGGGGGGGGGGGGAATATTTTATCTCATAACTGTTATATTAGATATGCAAAGTTTTGAGCAGAAATTTGTTCCATACCTTCTGTGCGTGTACAGCACCTGAACTACCACTGATTAAAATACAGTTTTGTGAGGCACCAGCTACATCTTCACAATTCAGTCCACATTTCTGAAGACTGGCTTGAAGACTAGCAGGTAGACTTGAATTATGGAGTTATGAATCTGAATTATGGTGTTACTTCACTGAAATGAATTCTCTAAACGACAGCAGGTTAGAAATGTTGCTTGAGTTTTGTAACTAGAAGAGCAGCAGAAATGAACAATAAAATCTGCTGATTAAACAGACATACATACAGTCTTTATTTCTTCCTTCTCTCTGCAAATGCCCCCTTAAGCAACTCAGAGCCCCTCTGAATCAAAGTTTCAAATGACAAATGTGATTAGTCACAGGCAGGATGTGTGTTAGTTGGGGGGGGGGAGTATTGCTTTTGATAGGGAGGGATAAAGGGTACACACCAGGGAGCAGCATCTAGTGCTATTACCCTGGCATAACTGTACGTTAATATGATACCCCATCTGGAAGGAAACTTCTGTCAACATTTACTGTGCTAAAGGTGCAAAACCCCATAAAAAGTTGGAGGAGTTGCAGTGATTGAGTTTGACATAAGTGCACAACTTAAAGAGATGTCAAAGATCATCTTGACATGCTGCCTGTGGTCTCACTGTGCTCAGGCGCCCTAGCACATACGTGTAGTGATGTGCTTAAGGTCATGCTGCTCATAAAGCTACAGTTGTCTTAAAGGTAAGGCGTTTGGCTTCAATTACTCTTCCCCTGTGTGCTGTGTTTTGTCAAGGTGGGCAACAGAAGGTTGCCCACCAACTAGTGATACGCAAGTAAAGGAGAAGGCTGCAGCATGATTTTCCACTAGGGTCATTCATTTATTAGCATTGTGCTGCTGCTTGGGCCCTTGCTTGGGAAAATAAATAAATAAATAAATAAGGAATCTTGAAACGTTTTGTTTGAGGGTGCGGGAAAAGTCAGCTGTTGCGTGTGAAAAAACCTTGAAGGACAGTTAAGATCAAGGAGTGTCCATTAATTATCTAATAATGCACTTAAAAAATACTGCAACTTGAAAATCTTGATGCAGCTGTTGCCTGCCATGAGCTTTATGATTTTGGTAACGATTAACTTTTGGATTATTATTCCAATCTGCATGCAAGTGATTAACTAGACTACTATTTCACTGTCTTATTTGCAAACTTGTTCAATGCCTCTGGATCCAGTTCCTGGAAATTGTTTTTATTTGACCCAGGAGAGATCAGTGTGTTTTTCTTTTAAAAAACGAATGGGAGAAAAAATCTTGCAAAAATACCATATCCGTTATTAACTAGATACATTCTTGTACTTCTCCAAGCGCAGGGGCCTGCTCAAATCCTGACAATTACACAATGGGGCCTGGCAATTACACAATGATACCTCACAAAGTGTACCTTGTCACAGCAAGCTTACCAAAGCATTGTAAAAATAGCAATAGTTTTCAAAGCTCATTTATCTGTTCTTTAAGACCTGGAAAAACGGGAATGTCTTTGGCCTACTTTTCAATTTGGGTAAAGAGGTGGCTGATCTGATGTGATAGGGCAGGGAATTCTTAAGTCATTTCTTAGTGGCTACAGCAAAACTACTCATAACCTCATTTTAAATAGAGGTCATTGGCTAATATGTGTCAGGAAAGCATAGAGCTGTACCTAATACTCCTGTCAAGAGCAAATGCAGCAGAGCAAATCAGAATTGGAAATCAATTCCAATTGAAACTGACACAAGGAAAACTAAAGCAGAGGGAGATGTGACAGTGATATATTCTGCTTTCAGTAATTCGGCTTTGGTAGAGAATTCTGGTCTGAAACTTAAACCAAATAATAAATAAAAATTCACTATGACAAAGCATAATGAAACTACTTAGATTAGAGAGTCCACAAGAGACACTGCACTGGAAATTGCTGTTTTCTTATTGAAAATTGACTTGTCTTCCCTGAGTGTTTCATTCTTTAGGCATTTCTTCTGGCAGTCAGTTTATTTAGGTTCCCAATCCAGTCAAACCAACCTTTGGATTTTCCAGCTTAGTCTATCCAGCAAGGCTGACAGCTGATTATTTTATAGGAACTGAAGTCTAGCTATCTGTATCAGCAAGGAACTGGACACTGTGATCACTTTGGGATTCTGACCAAATCAGATGATAAGAAAAGCCACCAATGTTCATTAACAACTACTCCATGCAGTTTTTCCTGTCTGTAGTGATGCAGCTGGAAGACTGTTGTACAAGGAGTTAATGATATGCATGCTTGCTCCCTTCCCATGTATGTAGGTGCACCCCAAATAGCCTGTGAGTGCTTATCAGCAGTGTGATCCATGATTACTCTGGTGTATGGATGCCTTGCAACTTGCTCTATACAACAGTATTAATCAGGGTATGCTTAATCAATGCATAAGTAACCAAGTTGCATGTACTCAGTAGGTATCCAATAAATGCATGTGTAGTGCATTGCCTTGTGTACTTCGTTT